CCTTCCTTCCTTCCTTCCTTCCTTCCTTCCTTCCTTCCTTCCTTCCTTCCTTCCTTCCTTCCTTCCTGTGCAGTAGTTAGAGAGCAGTATGGCAGGCTAACTGCCCACTGCCAGCAGTTCGATCCTGACCAGCTCAAGGTTGACTCAGCCTTTCTGTCCTTCCGAGACCGGTAAAATGAGGAGACCCAGATTGTTTGGGGCAAGAGGCTGGCTCTGTAGACCGCTTAGAGAGGGCTGGAAAGGCACTGTGAAGCGGTATATAAGGCTATTGCTATTCTGCTCTCGATTAACCGACTTTCTCTTCCGTTTGGCTCCCAGGCTTCCACGAGAAGGACGGCAAAGCCTATTGCCGCAAAGATTACTTCGATATGTTTGCTCCCAAGTGTGGCGGGTGTGCCCGGGCCATCTTGGAGAACTATATCTCAGCCTTGAACACCCTCTGGCATCCCGAGTGTTTCGTCTGCCGGGTAAGATGACTTCCTTTTCCATGGCAACTTTTCCAACATTTTGGAAAGGAAACGTTTTTCTCCAGTTTTAACAGTAGAGACTAAAGTAATCCAGGTAGTCTTTCATCTAGAACAGGTCGTTTAGTGTCCAACATTGCAATAGTATTCTTCCTTCCTTCCTTCCTTCCTTCCTTCCTTCCTTCCTTCCTTCCTTCCTTCCTTCCTCTCCCCTCCCCCCCCCCCCCCCCTCCCCCCCCCCCCATCCTATCCTACCCTCCTTCCTTCTACCTTTCTCTATTCTATTCTATCCTGTTCTACATTCCATTCCATTCCACATTCTATTCTATTCTATTCTATTCTATTCTATTCTATTCTATTCTATTCTATTCTATATTCTATTCTATTCCTATTCTCTATTCTATTCTACAGTATTTTTAATTCTATTCTATTCTATTTTCTATTCTATTTTCTATTCTATTCTATATTCTATTCTATTCCTATTCTCTATTCTATTCTACAGTATTTTTAATTCTATTCTATTCTATTCTATTCTATTTTCTATTCTATTTTCTATTCTATTTTCTATTTTCTATTCTATTTTCTATTCCATTCTATTCTCTTCCCCAGGCAGCGTATAAATTGTATATCTTCACGCAAGGCCGCCATTATGGTTTTGTAAGTCCAGGGCACGATGCAGTGTTCGTTTTGTTCCCACGCAGGAATGCTTCACCCCGTTCGTCAACGGCAGCTTCTTCGAACACGACGGGCAGCCCTACTGCGAAGTGCATTACCACGAACGCCGCGGCTCGCTCTGCTCTGGCTGCCAGAAGCCCATCACGGGCCGCTGCATCACCGCCATGGCCAAGAAATTCCACCCGGAACACTTCGTCTGTGCCTTCTGCCTCAAGCAGCTCAACAAGGGGACCTTCAAAGAGCAGAACGACAAGCCTTATTGCCAGAACTGCTTCTTGAAGCTCTTCTGCTGAACGTCTCACCCCACCGCCTCAGCCCTCCGTGGTATCTCTCCTGCCAGGAAACCCTCGCCAAGTTTTTCACGGCGTCCGGCAACTCGAGTGGGTTGATGTAGGAGAGGAGGAGGAGGAGGAAGAGGATTTGTGTGTGTGTGTGTGTGCGTGTGTGTGTGTGAGAATGAGATGTTCACAGCCTCTCTGGGAAGGTGGAAGAAGAGGCCCAAGGGACTATGGAGGTTGGATTATTATTATGACCTTTATTGTACAGCGTACGCAACATGTGAACAATGAGATCGGCTGAGCCTCCCTTCGTGTGCGCGCGCGTGCACACTCACACACACACACACAGAGTGATGACCCGGGGCGTGACACAAAAATAACAAAGTCACAAAAATAGAATAAATCCCCTTTAATGCCTCCAACTTGGCCCCCAATGTCCAGTTATCCTTGGCTGGATATCAGACTCTTCCAAAAACAGTCTACGAAGGGAAGAAATGCAGTCTGAACCCAAAGTAAAGATAATTAGAAATAATAATTAAAAAAAAACCCAACATAGACCACACTGAAGTAATTAACACGGCAGGCCAGGATGATAAGTTGCAGACTTCCAAAAGATAACTCAGCACCCATAGTTGAGAGGACACCAAAACAGCTGTGTAAAATGCCCCACTTATATCGTGTTCTCCCAGCTGCAACTAATGAAAAGGATCAGGGCCTTTTTCTCTCCCGTAAGCCATGTTGCTCCCTTCTCCGTTTCTCCCTGAGTGCCCTAGGATGAAGAGGGGGTGGTCCTGGGTCTTCCTCTGAGTGCCCAGCCAGACTGTGCCCTTCCCCCATTTCTTCCACAGCCACTGGGAGCCACACTCCCACTCCCTGTCAACTGCTCAACCTCCCCCTCAGAATCGGACTCCAACAAGGGCATGACACACACCCACACCCAACACAACTCACAGTGTGGACAGAAGTCCCTAACCCACTCCTACTCTTATTACACTAGGTGACCTTGTTGCACAATGTGCCGGCCCCCTCAAGTCTTATGTGGACATGAAGTTATTTTAAGTCGAGGAATGTAAGTCGAGGAATACCTGTATTTACCAGAACGCCTCTTGCAAACCTTCCCAGCCAGCTTCCAGCAAGCAAACTTCCAAGGGGGGGAACTGGATTTGCTTAACAACTGAGTGACGCATTTAACAACCAGGGCAAAATGGTTGCAAAATTAGCTACAAACTCACTTAAGAGCTGTCTTGCTGGAGCGATGGAAATTCTGGTGTTTAATTCTCGTCGCACGTCGAGGCCTGTTATATTTTTGCGGTTTTGCACCCGAGAGATGGGAGAAGTGTAAAAACCACAATTTTTTTTTTTTGCTTTTTTGATTCTTCTCCAGCCTGTCTGGTGTGCCTGTGTAAGATTCTCCCCAGAAATGATCTTCAGAGCAATAATTTAAAAACTTTTTATATCGATGTAGCAATTTCATAAAACCTTTGGTGGTTCTGCTCGAGCCCTTTTTTCCCCCCTTCCAGGGTGTTTCGATTGTGAGAAAAACATAACTTTTTTGCTATTAAGCTGAATGCTGTGTGTTTGGGTAAGGAATGTGGTGTGTGTGGGTTTTTTTTTTACACTGGGTCTTGAATGCATAACAAACAAAAAAGCTTTTAAAATCTCTTATATGGAAATTTTACTTTTATGAACATTTTTCGACGGATGCTTTTTTTAAGTATCTGATTTCTTCTGGGCAGGACCCTAAGCTAGGTTGGTTCCTGTCTTTATGAGCCTTGATGCTTTCTTAAAACCAACTATTAATTATATATAAATGTATATGTAAATCCTTTTTGTAAACTGGGGGGTGTTGGAGAAGTGGAATCTATTAGGAGATGTATGTATATTGTCTTTCTTTTTTTTCTTCTCTTTTTGCTTGTTGAGTAGTTTTTTATGGATCAGGGTTCAACTGGAATGGATTTTTGTAAAAAAAACAAAGACGAGGAAAAAGACACATCCACCGGTTTCATCCTGGATTTTCAAAAGAGCCTTAAGTTCATTTAAAAAGCACACGTATTAAGATATTTGCTTTTAAGTTCCAGTCCATTTCAGATGTTGCTGTTGGAGAGTGGTTTGCCTTGTAAATTTTACCCTTTGATGGCTAGAATTTTTCATGTCTTTTGCCCCACTGGCTCGGGATCCTGGGCTGAAGGAGACAAGCTAAGAGAAGCAAAAAAAATTCACACTGCTTGAGGGTGTGTGTGTGTGTGTGTGTCCTTTTAGGATCAAACTGGAGATATTCTCTCCCACCTTTTGTGGAAATTGGTCGCTTGCTTGGAGAAGTACCCTGCGCCGTTCCGTGCATCGGAGTCTTCAATGCATTTTTTCATGGACTCTCTGAGCGTTTGTTTTTTGTTTTTTAAGGGGGAGACGTTTTTCAAAGCCTGAGAGGTGGTCTCGGTGGTTAAGACGCTGGGTTTGTCAGCCAGAAAACTGGCAGCCCCGATTCGAGACCCTGGTTCGTGACGGGGTGAGCTCCCGTCCTCACCTCAGTTGCTGCCCACTTAGTTCGAAAGCATGGGAGTTCAAGTAGATCAATAGGTACCACTTTGGTGGGAAGGTAACAGCGCTCCGTGATGGCATACTGGTCACATGACCGTGGAAATGTCTTTGGAGAGCGCTGGCTCAACAGCCTTGAAACAGGGATGAGCAGCGCCCCCTAGAGTCGGCAACGACTAGTGGAATAAAATCTGCAGGAATTCCATTATCTTTTCTTTTTTCTTTTGTTTCCAAAGCCTGAATTTGGGCTGAAGGCTCTTTCAAAATCCCGGCTGTTTTATTTCGCTTTGAGAAGGCCCATTGAAAGGTTTGATCTGTTAGGACAAAAATAAAATGTGCCTTTTCCCTCATTTTCCGTGCTTTTTTTAAAAAAAATTCCCATCTTTTGGAGTGGACTATCCTACGCTACTGTAGCTTTGGCATTATAGGCAGTTTAAAAAAGAAAAAAAATTCCTGTTCTTGATGCTCTTTAAAAAAAAAAAAAAAACCTCTCTTAAGTGCCTCAAAATGAAGTGGCTCTTGATGAAAACTTCAGCTATTCTGCTCAGGAAGAGAAGGGGAGGTTTTCCTGTGGAATTATATTTCTCTCTCCCCCCCCCCCCTCTCCATTTTCTGTATTCCTTTTTTGCAATGCATTGTCGCCCTTCTTAAAAAGTCATTGTGATGATGCTAAATAAAGATTTGGAGACAGGCTTGGGTGTCGTTTGTAGCTTAGCCTGTGCTGTTCTGACCCAGGCTTCCTAGACCGTAATTATGTACACACTTATTTTAAAAACCAAGACGTATTTTATTGCAACTCTGGGAATGGTTTTCATCCGCCGAGATAAGCACACACCTTTCAGTGCTGCCAAAAACAGAAGTATCAAATGAACTAGAAAAGAAACCAACCCATGTACAAAAAGAACCAACCGAAGTGCAAAGAGCTTCAAGAATGGCTCTGAATCGAACGAACGGCTTTGCTTCCTGCAAAGGTTTCATCATCTTGACCTGTCCTTTATCCCTTATGGGAGGGGCAATCCCCTCCCAGCCTTACTCCCGAGTCTCCCCTTTTGTCTTAGCTGCTCTCGCCTTCTGGCAGCCCTGCGCACACGCGCACGAGGAACAGGCTCCCCTCGTTCCTCTGCCTTGCTGCTGCCAGATTCTGGAGGCTCTGGGTCTGCACCCAACTCCCAGGTTGTCCTGACCCCACCTCTGCACCGGACGCAGGACCCTTGTCCGAGTCCTCTCCAGACTCCCAGACTGGTCCCCGTTCTTCCCCACTGTCCGATTCCACTGCCGTCTGCACCAGCAGCCGTCAAACCACAGCATGTTTGTGCCTGAGTGTGGTGATGAAAATGGAACACACATTTTGGGATGGTGGGGGGGCAGGCAGAGGATGGAAAATCATCCTTTCCAATAGCCATGTGGGCAGTTGACTTTAAGGGATCCCAAGTCAATCAAACCTGGAAAAGGATCACTTCCCATTATTAGCAGCACCTTCAGCCAGGATCCCCTTGGTTTTTGCCCTGAATAACAGGATTTGGGAGGGACCTTGGAGATCTTCTAGTCCACCCCCTGCTCAAGCAGGAGACCCCATCTCATTTCAGACCAGTGGCTGTCCTGTCTCTCCTTGAATATTTCCAGTGAAGGAGCCCCCATATCCAAGAAGCTGCTTCAGTTCCCAAAAGCAACCGAAATTCCTTTTTTTTCCCTTGAAGACATTTTGCTTCTCATCCAGGAAGCTTCTTCAGTTCTAACTGAAGAATCCTGAACTCTCCCCACCATTCAGTTAGAACTAAAGAAGCTTCTTGGACCAGAAGCAAAATGTCTTCAAAGAAAAACTAAGAAAGTCCAAGTTGGCTCTTGGGGGGGGGGGAACCCTTTGGTACTGACCTAGATGACCCATAGCTGAATCTGTCACCATCTAGCTTAACCTGGTGTTTCATTCCTCGAACGTTTTATTTCTTATTTATCTATTAAATTTATTTGCATCCCTGGTTCTTGTTCCCCTATGGGGCTAGAAAAAAAAACCAAACAGTTTTTCCAACCAAAACTAAACTTTTCCGTGCTGCTGAACTCCAGATCAGCTGCAAGCAACGAAATTTAATTTTAATATCGACCGATTAGCAAGCATTGAAAGTGACAATAAAAGTCATAAGTTCCAAGTCATTTAAATCACAGAACCCTTTCTTTGAGTGACAGTCCCAGCCAGCCTATCAGACCGGAGGGGTGGGCCTTAACCGCGCTCCTCCTCTTTTAACTTTCTTTCTCCGCCTCCTCTTCCACGGCTCGCCCAATCCGTGCAGGAAGAAAAGGCGGGGCCGGGCAGAGGTCGCCCGCTGATTGGTCGCGGCGTCCTGAGTATAAAAGGCGGCGGCGGGACTCGCGCTATTCCTTTTCTTCCACGGAGGCCTCGTGAGGTAGGTGGGCGCTGCGGGCCACGCGGGCGGCAGGCTTCGCGGCCTACTCCGGGCGGGCCTGATTTCTCCCTTCTTTTTTCCCTCCCTTCTCCAGAGAACGCCGCTGTCTTTAAACCGCCGCCCCGCCGCGCGATCCTTGGGACACCGCGATGCCCAGGGAAGACCGAGCCACGTGGAAGTCCAACTACTTCCTCAAGATCATCGTAAGTCTCGGGGGCGGGAGTGCCCCTGAGCATGTGCAGAGCGCCTGGCTGGGGAGGGGGCAGCTGTGTCTGGGAGGGTAAACCCCCCCCCCCGACAGTTGTTAGCTCAGGGTTCAGGAAAGGAATTTTATTCCAATTCCACTTTAAATCGTGTTTTGTTCCAATTTCATTTTAAATAGTACTTTATCTCAATTCCATTTTAAATTGTATCAAATTTTAGTAAAGTAATTTGTTTCTGGAACTTTGCACTTTCATA